GCTCCGGGGTGCTCTATGTTAGGGAGATAGAGCATAAGGGAGCACCTAAGTAGATAGTTCTATATAAGCAGTTAAGCTAAGCTCTCCTTAAGAGACTTAGCAAGTAAGCAATATACATTCATCTACTTCATTACTTGTAAAGGCAATCTACATCGTGTATATCGAGACTTCCATCCGCATAGTTTAAGGAGCTTACCTTCCCTACGTGACGTACCCACCCAACTCACGGCGTACCGCCTTGTAATTTAGACACCCTATGTGTAGATTGTAATAGACTACTTCCCCCGCTCCTCTACCGTAAATCTCGTCGGGGTCTATAATGGCCTTCTCGGCACCCAAACATCCTTCATCTTCCAATTAGTCATCTCGGGCTTAGTCGTAGTAGTCGTCCCCGAAATCTTCCTCGTTAACTATCCTTACTCGTTAGGTAGGTTCCTCCTCCCAGTGGACTCGAAAGGTGGCCTTCTCGGGTACTAGTTCCCATTAACGAGGCCTCTTAGGTGAGCGACACTTCCGCGCCCAATGACCTTTCTTGCTATAGTTATTGCATGTATCACTTTTGCGCTAGGCTTCGCGTTAGACCGCCGAAGTATCTATAGGTCCCGCGTATAATCCGTATGCTATGCTAGGCGTAGAATTGCGAGGTCGTCTGGAATTCTTCCTCGGACTACGGCAGTCTCGCGCCCAATGGCCCTTCTTGCCGCAGTTGTTACATGTACTGCTGGCCTCCTTTTTATCAATTTGCCCGGCCGGAAAGCGGCTCATTCCGCCCTTTTTTTCCTACCGTCTATCGAACTGCCGATTGTCAATTTTAATGGCTTCGTCGGCGTACTCCAAGAAGGTTAGGCCGGTTTGCGACACCTTATAAAGTTCGTCCTTAACGTCCTCTTTAAGTGCTTGGTAGAAGTACTCTTTAAACGCTGCCTCGTTGTAGCCGGTATCGTACATCTCCATCCTAAAGGCTGCCAAGTACTCGGTGGCTAACTTGGTCTACTTTAGTTTCCTGAGGCGAGATCGTGCCTAGTACACCGCATCGTTCTCGCCGAACATCTTGCTTAAGGCTCCTTCGAAGCCGTCGATGCCGTTGAAAACTTCCCGAGTCTCGGCTCTCATCTTGAGTGGTTGGAGTCGGTGTTTTAGGTAGTCTTCCATCGAAGGCTAGAACTACCGCAAGGCTCTTCCCGTTAGTGCTGTCCCCACATACAGCACCTTACTAGCTTCCGTCGGGAACGATCCTTCCTCCCATAGCAAGTGGGCACGCGCCTACGTCATGAATCCCCTTAGCTCCTTTGGGTCGGAGCCGTCGAAGGGAGGGAGCTTGGAGAGCTTGGTTTTTCTGCCGACCAAGCTTCTCGTGGTTGACTTGGCTCCAGTCTCTCGTCGGGCTGCCTGGATGAGGTCTCCGAGTTCCTTCATTCTCCGGCTCAGGTCTCCTACATCCGTAACTCCGACGTCTTCAATTTCTCCCCTCTCCTTCTGGGCCCAAGCTTCCATAAGCTCGGTATGAAGGACTTCGATCCTTGACTTCAACTCCTCCAGTGCTCCCTTGATGCCCTCCCCCTCATCGTCGCTATCTTCGGCCTCTATCTCTGGCGCAGAGGCGGGGGCAGGCTCCTTGGGCTTGGGTCCAAGAGCGGGAGGGACGACCTCCTTCTTCTTAGAGCCTGACCCGGCACCGACCGTTGACATGTTGTTGACGGGGAGTGATGAGGAGTGGTAGGTAGTTGAGTGCGTTGTTCAAGCAATCCGAAGGTGACGTAGTCGAAAGAGAAGTAAGCAACGTATTACAATCCACACACAGGGTGTCTGAACTGCAAGGCGGTACGCCGTGAGTTGGGTAGGTACGTCACGTAGGGAAGGTAAGCTCCTTGAACTATGCGGATGGAAGTCTCGATACACACGATATAGATTGCCTTCACAAGTAATGAAGCAGATGAATGTGTATTGCTTACTTGCTGAGTCTCTTAAGGAGAGCTCAGCCTAACTGCTTATATAGAACTATCTACTTAGGTGCTCCCTTGTGCTCTGTCTCCCTAGCACAGAGCACCCCGGAGCAATACTCTAAGTGCTCTGTTGTGCTCCGTCTTCTCAACACAGAGCACCACAGAGCATTCCCCTGCAGCTGACAATGCGCGTGACAGCTGTCTACAGGTGTCACCCCACATAAGATAGCATGGCGCCTATCGGCGGGTGCTGCCCCGCGCTTTGTCACATGACCAGCGGGAATCGTGACACCAACCCACGGCGTACCGCCTTGCAGTTCAGACACCCTATGTGTGGATTGTAATACCTAACCTAATAACTCTAGGCGTCCCGCCTTATAGTTTAGACACTCCGTATATAGATTATAATAACGGCGTACTATATGTAGATTATAATAACCACCAAACTCACGGCGTACCGCCTTATAGTTTAAACACCTTATATATAGTTATAATACCCTCTCCCGACGATCACGTCCTAACGTAAACTATATATATTTTCCTTATCTCCTCTCCCGCACAACTTAGTGCCATTTCGCTTAAGTTCATGTAGCTTATTATCATCGCGGACTATCTACACCACTTGGTCCTTGCAGTTCAACCGCATCAACGATGTAGTTAGCGCTAAGAAAACTCGCGTCACCAGACCCTGAGACCCCCAACGTCAATGTGTTTAATCCAGCCTTAAGCGTGCCGGCTGGGACTTTCCATGTATATACTTCTCCATACCCGCGGTATGCTCCACGCGTGACACCACGAGAGTCGATGAGTTTCTTATCGCATGCAATATCTATTAGCTCAATTGACTTTCAATGCAGACGAGGTTGACGTTTCAACATACCGGAGCTCCAGGGTCTTTGCCAGTCCAGCTGTTAATCTTGACAGACGGTCGGCCCCCCTTAAACGACAGGGTTGTACCGACTCGCAGCGTTGTCTCTACGCTGGCTTGATTGGTAGCAGCGTTAAACGTGACAGTTGGAGCGCCGCCTTCCTTGGAGAACAGGGCCATGGGGAACTCTTTCGGCGACGACTTGCCAACAGTATATGAGCCACCCCACGATCCCATCCGCACGTCTGACGGATGCATCCTCTCGATCTTGTCACCATTCTTCAGCTCAAATGGCTGTCCGTCAAAGTCGCCGATGCGCCAGATAACGGACGGATTGCTCTCAGTAGAGGCAATGTTCTTCGTGGCTTTGGCACCCGCCGTGATGGTTACGCTGTCTTGGGCAACAGGGAATTCACCACGATACAGCTTCATGGTGTAAGTGCCAGACTTCATGAGAGGAGAGGTGTAGCTGCCACCTGTGCCGGCAATAGCCCAGTACTGCGACGCATTGTTATACCAGTGGAGAACACTCTGGAAGCCGCTGGCAACACCTGCCGCAGTGCCAGAGACACTTCCTCTCTTGCTGTCGGGCACATATCCCTGGATGTTGAGACCCTCAAAGAAGCTCGTGTCCAGAGTGCCCGACGGCTTGGCCCCAGTGCTGGCAGTGGACGGGTCAGCAGTCGAGATCAAGTGAGTACATGCATTTCACATCGTAGACGTGAGAAACTCACGTGAAGCGCATGGCGTATGGTCCCATGAGTCCAAATCTCCAAGGTTCAGTGCGGACATGTCCACTGTTCATGTACCAGTAGAGTTCCTGGTCATCTCCACTCTGCGTGTTGATGTCTCTCATGAAGGGACCGCCAGATGAAGTCTCGTACGCTACGCCAGGCATGATCAACCAGATGCCCACGTTCTGTCACATCAGTCAGCCACTGAGAAAATTCACAGTCATGACAGGGAGGGTGATGGTTGGAGTTCTCACATTTCCAGTGACTCCATGGACTTGATCATCAATGAAGCGATCGCCCGTGTACATCTTACAGCGAGTCTGACCATTGGGACACTTGAACGTATCCTTGCCCTCAAATGCAGTGCATCCATCAAGTACTGCGACGTCACCATGCCAGCCATTCGGTACTGCAGACCTCTTGAGGCGAGCCAGCCATCGCAGCTCGCCGGGGCTGACCTCGCCCGTGATATATGTAGCCATGTAAATGGTTGGGTCATTTGGCTTGACAGCAAAGTACTGTGTCAGAGGCATTGACTTGGCAACCACGGTGATCTTCACATAGCCGTTGATCGTCTCAGCGGTCACTGTTGACGTGCCAATTCCCGAGTTAATGGCGGTCATTTTGCTCGTTCCCTGGTACTGGACGCCATTGTATTGCAAATTCGTGATATCGCCATTTGTTCTTGATGGTAAAATCTCGCGGTCAGCTTTGCCTCAGCCGGGTACATGCGACGCGATGTTGAATTGGACATACCTGCTGACATCAAACACCAAGCCACCGTTCGTGTCGACACTGTAAGAATTGGCTTTGGTAGTCACTCCAAATGCTGCCTGGACGGAACTCCCCATCCAAGCGACAAGTGCGGCTGAAAGCGCAAGAGACCGCATTGCAGAAATACTTTATCGGCGTCGACTAAGATGCCATTAAGATCAACTGTGTCTTGGTGATTAAGTCTTCAGCCTTCCCCAGATCTCGGCAATGAGGTGTTTTATCTCCCAGGACGCGGATAATAATTTCTTCTTCAATCTGTCGGTTATTAAATTGCGGGAAGCCAATCGCTGCGGGCCATATTTTCCCGCGAGTCGCTTTGTCCCGGGTATTCCAATAGTTGAGGGTGGGGTTACAGTCTCTGGGGCGGAGGTTTACATCCGTCGCGGTTACGGACGTTCAAAACACCGCGACAATTCGGGGCCATGACCTCATTTATGTCAATTGTCATTAAGCTTGGTACGTTTCACATAAACACAATGGTCATCCTTTTCATAGTCAATAAATCTGCACCGACTGAACGAGCGAAAGCTTTGTTTGGGTTTGTTCGCATAAACTCAATTAACGCGTCAAATGATGAGACATTTCCAGTTCACACCGAGAAGCTGGACCCCGATGTCTAAACAGTGCCACAAAAAGCAATGTGCTCGCCTGTGAGTGGTAAATGAAAGCTGCCAAAAGAATCGACCTGGATGCGGCTCGAACGCACAATCTTCTGAGAACTGTTCCGAAACCAGATGCCTTACCATTTGGCCTCCAGGCCTTGATGTTATCGATGATTCTTGGGAATAGAATCCGCGCTCAACAGTACTAACCATGTCGCGATCTTCAATTTCCGATGTTGTAAGGCACTTTGTTCCTCGCTCTCCTCGTTGAAACATGAACTTGAAGAATGACAAGAACCCGGTCATTCAGCAACTTCTGCCACATTTCGCATTCGTTGTTCCCTCAACGCAATCCATAAAATGCAGCCGTGATGCAGCTCAGAGCTACTGAGACAAGTCAATTTGTTGCATTCTACCTACTTGATCCAGCTCGCCTTCAGAGTCTATCAAATACACTGTCACTTTCTGCTGTTCTTAAACACACCAACGGAAATCCGGCGACGCGGGACCATCACGCAGCTTCTCCGTCGGGACTGTCGTCGGATTGACCTTGACGCCCTGCTTCTTGTCCCTGACCCGGTTGTCATTCAACATGTATGCACCAAACAATAACGTTAAAACCAGTCCAAGTCCACCAAATGCCGCCGTCGTAGCCAGTGCTGGCAAATACTTCGGCTTATCCTTGTTCAAGAAGATGTTGGAGCTGACAACCCCCATCATGTTCGCCATGGGCACACCAATACTCGTGAGCACCACGCGTTTGCCCTCATGGGCGATATTGTTGTTATATAGCACGTCGAGGAGCACACTGGGCGCTGACGTGCCCCAGGTCATCATGAAAGTGGCGAAGTAAGCGACCTGTATCTGGCGGTCGACGTCTTCAATGGCGGCGTAGATCACCATGCCGATGAAAGTGAACAGGAACCCCATGGCGACAAAAGGGAAGCGAAGACGTGTCCAATCGCTCGTAAAAGCAAGAATCAGCAGAACAACAGCTCCAGAAACATTAGGCGCAACCGTGTACAGATTGGTCTTGACAGTATCATACCCCAGACGCGTGACAATCTGAGGCAGGAAGAGGTTGACGCTTTGGAGCGGGACACCAAGGCAAATCTGGATGGCGAGGATGAGCCACGACGTGGGGAGCTTGAGTATCTGCAGCGACTCGCGGATGTTGAGCTTCTCGTTGACCGTGCTGGAGGAATCGAGAGCCATGCGCTGGTACGCCAGTTTCTTTTCGTCGTCGTTGAGAAACCGAGCCTCGGATGCCGACATGGGCAGATACCAGAACGAGAAGAACGAGAACAGGATGGTACACGACCCCTCGATGATGAAGAGATATCGCCAAGGATCCAGCGAGCCGCCCTTGATCTGGAACACGCCGTACGAGAGCAGACCGCCAAAAGCAGATGCAATACTCTGGGCGGCGTAAAAGATGGCGAGCCTCCGAGCAAGCTCCCCGCGGCGATAGAACCTGGCTTAACCGTTAGCATCTGGAACCTTTTTGTGACATGGCACAGCTTGGAGAGATTAGATTTACATCGTCTGATAGTAAATCACAAGGGGAAAGAAAGCACTCTCGGCCATCCCCAAAAACCACCGCAAGGTCATGAGACCTGCAAAATTGGTAGTCGCAACAACCAACAATGTCGCGCATCCAAAGCAAAACATCATGCACGGCAGCACTCGGCTGGGACCGTACTTCTTGCCAGCAAGGCCAAGAAAAGGTGCTGTCAACACATATGGGATGAAGAAGATGGAGAGCAGCAAGCTGTACTGCTCACCGACAAGATGAAGCGACGTTTCGAGTCCAGCTGTCTTGGCATTGCCCATGTTGGACTTGTCCAGACTGTTGAAGAGGTACATGACTGCGAGCACGGGTAACAAGCGCAAGTCGAACTTCCAGACGAGGGCCCGCTCAGCGACTCGGTCGATAGACGTCATGAGGTGTGCGTCACCGCCAGAAAGCGAGGGCGTTTTGCTTCTGAATGACCCGGCGTTCATCTTGAGAGCAGACTCGTCTTGATCATCGCCAGTGATGGCTTTCGAACCGTCGACCTTTTCAGGGTCATTGTGGGATGCCATGGCTGACCGCCACAGTCTTTGGCGGCACTGGCTTGTAAGAAAGTCGGATAGGGGTCGTGGTGAATTTCTGGTGGCAACAAAATCGTGAATGGGAACTCAGCACGACTTTCAAGTAACGAAAATTCATTTTCGTCTGAAAGGAGTCTTTATATGCAACGCACCCCGCATTATTTGCCGCTCAATGCTCGTAAAAATGCCGCTTGGCTTCATCCAACTGCTTACTGTGACATCGTGATGATTGTTGATCCCCTGGCCTCCGGTAAAAAGTGGGGGTGCAGCGAGAGATAAGAAGATCGATAGGGTAACATGCAGATGGTTTGCCATGCCATTGGCCAACGGCTGCCAGCGTCTTATCGCGGGGGCAAAGTGGACCACTGAAGTCTGCAGGTTTATCTTCTGTGCGTCACCGACAGCTTGGTTAGGGCCTGTTCGTTCTCCAACCAAGTGTAGGCGGGAGCAGGCGGGTGATTGTGCAGCATGGCTTAGAACTAGATCCCGATTTGTAGGATGTATCAAACAACTTTGCAGAACTAGAAATTTGACACATTGCAAAAGAAGACACCAGTATGAAGTAACAATGGTATTTCTTGTCTCAACTGCGTACTGGGGTATGTAAGGGCAACACGATGCTGTCTTAATGAACCACTAATTCAAGTCAAAATGCTATCATGAAACGCCATGACAATTTGGACGCTGACAGATGCAATGCTGCACTATGATGAGTGGAGAGGCTGGTTAGGGCATGTGACTGAATCCAAATGCCTGAAAATTCAAACAGGGGGTATGAAAGAGTGAGCGTAGATGTGATTTTAGGCTCAAGCCCATGCGATGACCAGCCACGGGACAGAGTGTTGGCATGGTCAATTGGCCTTGATGTTGAACGGCATAGTTCCAATGGAAATACCGGCGACGGCGTTCTTCTCCAGCAATTCGTGGATTAGTTCGCCTTCCAAGTCCGTAATCTTGTCTTGTGACTGGGTGACTTCCACTCGGGGGAGCATGAGCATATCTCGCTCGCGTTCAAAGCGAGGTCCGTCGGTGCCAAAATGGCGCTCGCCCTCCAGATGCCAATTTTCGCTGCCGCGAACCCAGGCACCGAGTCCGTCGACGTAAAAGCGGACCTGGCGGTCAATATCCGGACCCCACTTGAGGCAAAGCTGACGCAGCTGCTCCTCGCAGGCAAAGAACTCGGCGACAAGAGCGTCGTACCACTGGCCAATCCAGTTGATGGCCTCCTGTGGACCACAGTCTTGCTCGTACATGACGATGGTCGCAAAGTTGTGTAGAGCGTGGCCCCGAGCGCGCTCCATGTTGTAAGAGCAAACATCCTGTCATGCGTCCAAAGTTTAGATCCTTATCGTCAAAACAGATAACGGGAGGCTCAGGTGGTGGGGGAAGAAAAGAAATTCACTCTTACGTTACCGGCGCAAATCGCCTTATTCGCGTTTTCGCGCAGCTTTGCCAACAGCGGGTGATTATACACCTCCTCGGGCAAATTGATGTTGCCGCTGAACTCGATCAAAACGAAGGTGGGATAGCAGCCACCAGTGTGGATACGGAGGGCCCAGTACTCCTCGACAGTACGGACCACGTCGCTGTGGCGGTCCTCGGACTGATGCACCATCGAGTTCATGTAGTCAGTCATTCCGTCAACGAAGTGGGCTTGAGCCGCGAGGGACGCAAACTGCTTGGCATTGGACCAGTATCTGAGTATCATGCACGTCAGCCAAAGTTCAATGTGAGAAAACCCGCCGACTAATCCGCAGCAGCTATGGTGGCACGACATGACGCATGTGTCAGATTGAGTAGCCGTTACACGGCACTGCGAACTAGATTGCACTTACTGCCGGATCATCTCGCCAAGCTTGATCTCGTTCTCGGGGCGTGCCTTGTCAGGATTCCGCAGGGCGTCGATCACAATGTCGGCCAAGCGTCGGCAGCCGGGCACGTCCTGCACATCGGTGTACTCATCGATGACGTAGAAAATCACCATGAGGTCACATGCGGATCGGATTTGAGCTTATCCTCTCTGTCAGTTTTGCTCTTGTCACTCCCGGGACTGATTTCTGACACTTACCGCGGTCGAGATATGCAAAGGTAAGACAGGCAAGTTTCGCTGCATGCAAGAGTTGACATGTTGGTCAGATCAAAGTGGCCCCCAAATTGCATGTGTCATGTCTGGTACTCGGGGTTTACTTACGGAACTCGCAGCGGATGAAAGAATCCAGTGACTTCTCGTCAAACATGCCAAAGGAACGCAGCCAGTTGAGGGACTCGACTTTGACCTCATCGTAATAGGGGTGGATGGTGCGCTGCCATGGCCAGTTCCGCAGGAAGTCGGGCACTTTTACAATCTCGGCGGCCATTGTTGCTTGCTTAGGTCGGGTGTTGCTTGAGGAGATGGTGGAAGGTTCGGTGGGGAGAATGGGCTGATCTGGGCAGATTAGAGAAAAACCATCGAGAGCATGGACGACTGGTTAGTTTGCAGACGCTTTTGGTGGCGGTGAGAAAAGTGCGGGAAAGGGAAAGAAGCACCGGGACCAAGGAAGCTAACTGGGAAGTAGTCAGGCGGGAAGGTGACAGGTGAACGCCGAGGCGGGGTCCCGGGGTCTTCGAAGAGAAGGAAGGTGCGATTCTTGCACCTAGTCAGGCGGGGTCTCTTCTAGAGGAAAGGAACGTTGAGGAGGGGCGAAAGAAGTAGAAGCTAGTAGAAATTAGTCGGCGGGGCGTTTGGGTCATGTTGAGAAGCCATCGGATGGCTGGCATATTATCAACATGGCGAGTGAGAGGCAACATGTCGGCCGCCATCGTGAGAAGACAAGTCTGGAACAGGGGAAGGTTTGGTTCAATGGTCAGATACAAGTCCATGGGTGCTTCGCCCGAAGCTACGGCTAAGTGCCCGCCCCTGTCACTCGAAATTGCTGGGTCCTGGTCCGTGCAAACAACGGTGACAGGGGTTACTCGGAGTCAGAAATCCCATCCAAGGATGCCATACTGGGCAGTTATACGATGCTGGCCGTCTTCTCTCGGATATGTGGAGAGAAAAGGGTTGACGAAAAAATTGGGGAGAAAA